TTGGGAGACTCTCGTTGGTCCGCCTGAGTCAGAAACCAAGCAACTTTCAGAACTCTCTCCAAGACTGTAGATTTGGAGTTAAAGACGCCGTTACGCTCCTGTGGATTGCCCATTTAACACAATTCTTCTTCATGTATTATTATTGATCATCTTCTGATTGCCTGACAAATGGACACGAGTTTGGGAAACTGAAAGGTCTTGTGATTAACTAGGTTTTGGGCAAAACAGGAGCACCACAGGGAACTGTTCTCTAACCATTACTTTCCCCTCTCTGTACCTCATATCCATTACAAGACAAACTCTTGTCAGATATTCGGATAGCTGGAAGACCACTGAATGTGTTGATATAAACTTTCAGTTCTCCAGAGCTGTTGATTCATCATTTTTACGAGTCACTGCTTCCAAACACACGTCACCAACATAAGCTCATTTTCAGAGCTCTGCAAAGCTTGACTTCATCCTTGTGAGACATTTTATTCATTTGATCCAGTTGTGTACAGCTAAAGGCAAATCTAAATGCAACAGGAAAATGGCCTTTGAGTATTTGAATTTGAGACCCAATGGCATGGAGGAAAAACAATCATCTTATATTGAATATAAGCAACCAAAAATAAATTATTGCAGTTTTCAAGGGAACCAGGAATTGGTTAAATATTTGTCAGTGGATATGGACCTTGATATTGCAGGATTTACTGAGGCCAAAACTCACAAAATAAGATTTCTGGTAAAACAGAGATAAAATACTAAATATACAAGGAAAAGGCACAAAGAGAAAACATCAAGAGAAAGTAAGAAAATAAGGAAATACACACACTGAGAAAAAGACAGGAAGAGAAAAAGGAGAAAGAAAAAAGAAAGAGAAAATGAAAGAAAGGAATAAAAGTAACAAACGTTTATTCTGTTAAACTGTCTGTGACCTGCTGTTTTGTGAGTTATCAGAAATACTGAAAGACTTTCTTATTTTCAGTTTTTAAAATGTTTCAATCTGCTGATTTCAGGTTTTGATTTTCGTTACACAGGAGAATCTGAGCGTTATAAACTTTTTAAAATTATGAACTTTTCTCATCTTTTCTGCATTAAAAGGTTATAAGTTTCTTATTTAATCATCATTTGCATGGCCATGTTGTTATAATAGAAAAGCAGTCCTGTGTTGCAGTTTAGACTTTTTAAAATCAAAGAGAGGTTTTAAACTGGCTTCCAGAATTACCTGTAGGGATTATTTCATGAGGAAGAATTCATAAAAATTAAGAAAACTATAAACAACCTTGAGTTTCCTCTTCAATAGACTGTTAAACAACCACAGTGTCTTCAGTCAAAGGCTACAACAACAACAGCTCATTAATAAAAAACCCAAAATGCTTTGAGTTACAGCAACCGTTGAATTTCCCTTCAGGATAAATAAAACAATATAACTTTGGCTTAAAATGAATTCTATATTCTTAATAAAGAGGATCAGCAGCTGCTGCAGCTCCAGCAGGTTCTGCAGCAGCTTTTTGCTGTTGAACTGCTGAATTCTAACCAAGTCTCTGCATCACACTTGAAAACATCATATTTTGCACCAACATGGCTGATTTTCTCATAATCCCTTTAAATAGAACTACCTAATTTGTGTTCTACCTAATTTTGCGCCATATTTATTTATTTTGCACTGCACTAAACATTTTATTTTCAATGCCTTTTAAACTATGACTTCAAACTGGTTTTCCTTCACTGCTGCACTTTATAAATGGAAATGTTAATTTCGCTGTTAAAAAGGTATATGCATTGAAATAAATAAAAATAAAGGTTTTCTAAGTCTAAGCGTCACTGAATTAAGTGTCTTTTGAATATCCTGAAAATGTAGATCTTTAGCTTTAAAACTAGTTTTTTGTCAGGACTCCTGTCTGTGTGTTTGTGTTTATGTGTTTGTCTCCCTTCCTCCACCAGGAGGTGCCTGGTTCTGGTCCGCCTCCTCACACACCTGCTGATGGTTTCCTCGTTAACGGAGTGTTCTTAAGCTGCTGACTGCCACTACCTCGACGCCAGAGTGTTTGCCAGTTTTGGGTACTCTACCCAAGCTGAGTTTTGCTGAGTCAAACTAAGTTTTAGTCAACCTGAGTTTTAACTATGTTCTTTGTCTTTGCCTCTTGGCAGGAAGTCATCCTGCAAGCTGGATGTTT